CCTCTAGTTAGAGAGGTTAAGGCAGAAGGAAACTTCCTTGATGCTTGCCACAGCGCTCCCAAACAATTATATCTCACACAAAAATGCAAGCATTTCTTCAGAGACTGAACACTACTTACACACTAAGAAAAGGAACTTGAAAGACTGCGTAGCAGAGCCAAATGGTGACTCCCACCACGACAATAGAGTCGGTGCAGGGTTTTCACACTGAACTGACTTCCTTCGCGCAACTCCTAAAAAATCTGCAGGGTATTGAAAATTTAACTGATCACGTACAACATTACAGAAATTGTCAGGGAAGAATTTGGAGGCTTGGGCAATTAAGTAAGTGACCCTTGAGAAGACAATTTAGGACAATTTTGAAATAATTAGCAGTGTTGACATTTGTCATCTTGCGGTTTCAGAGTTAACTCGCTGAAACACCTGAGAATCCACCACTTTCAGCATTGTTTCAGGCTGTCTACAGACATTGTCTGCAGACAATGCTACATCGTTTACACTGTGTTGTTGTAGGGCTCTCTTCTGAACCGCAAGGGCCAGAAACAACTCTATTTAAAAAAGGAAGGGGCACTGGAACCCAATTCTGTATCAAACTCTGGAGCTGGGGAATAAAGTAATCTTAAAGCCCTGGTTAAAAATGCGGCATTAGTCTGTTACTCTGACTCAAGAAGCAAACACAGCAGAAAAAGTAGAGGCAACGTTTTCCATGAAAAACAGTGGAAGCTCCCTGTTTCAGAGGATCATGCAGATTAGAGGCAAAGGTAGACTCTGACAATACTTAAGTCAATTACCCTCCCCCATTCCACTTTATATTTCAGATTACCTCCCTCCCACACAGCCCTGCTGTCATTTCACTTTTCTTATGGTAAACGACTGATAAATCATGAAATTGCAGGTATAGAAACTGTGCTTTATGCGAACGGAATGCATCCTATGTACTGTTTAAGATTCCTGCACAACTATTTCTCCTGTGGTCCTCGTTGGGGCTGCAGCTCCTTGAATGGCTTCGAGTGATGATAATATTCATTTTCTGGAGGTCATTACATAGTAAGCTTGTATTCTAACAGTTCTCAAATAATATCTCCTATAAACATGGCTGTAAACACGTTACGCCAGGGGTCTCACACTGAGGGTCGGGACCCCTCAGGGGGTCATGAGGTTATTACCTGGGGGGTCGCCAGCTGTCAACCTCCACCCCAAACCCTGTGTTTCCTCCAGCATTTATAATAGTGTTCAATATATAAAAATGTGGTTTTAATTTATGGGGGGGGGGTCGCACTCAGAGGCTTGCTATGTGAAAGGGGTCACCAGTACAAAAGTTTGAGAACCACTGCGTTACGCCCTAAAAAGACCGAAAGGACATTTGTGTGTGTGTGTTGTATATACACGCAATGTTGCCAATCCTCATGATTTTATCACAAGTCTCATGATATTGGATGTTTTCCTTGAAACCTCAGCACTTGCAGTCAAGCAATTATGTGAGAATCTCAGTTTTAATTTTTTTTAAAAGTTGCTAGCCCTTGTGGTTGGGGAAAAGTGCTTAAAATGTATCCCAAGGCCAGGCTAAAAAACCTCAGAAATTATGGGGTGGGGAAGAATCCCACATTTATTATCTTTTTAGAAATCTCATGATCTGGAGTGGAGGCTGACACGATTGTTTTAACACTGAGAGCAGGCAATACTGCCCAAATCATGGCCCCAGACCTGCAACTGGACCCACACAAATTCATCCTTGGTCCTGTGTCGCGTCCCACTGACTTTCCAAAAGCAGGTGTAAAGGTCCGGCTGCACAGAGCGGAATGCAGGATTGGGACCCGTGTTACCGGAGAGCGATCTGTCCAGTTTCCCCAGACTTCATGTACATAGCGTGGAGAATTTATGCCTCACCGCTGCACTCATGCCCTTATACTCACGCTGCCTGTCTAAAGCCCAGTCCTGCTCTGGCTTCAAGAAAATAGAAGTTTTGTCATTGACTCAACAGGAACAGGATCAGACTCTATAGAACTGTTCTGTTTTCATTGCACATTCCCACAAACAGCATCCTTTCCTTGCTCATGCAAGTGTTCCTTTGCAGCACCAACCAAACTTCTCCTACAGAACCTAATCATCTGTCCCTATGTTCTCCAATACAAAAATCCAGCATCATAAATTCAGCTACGTTATGCAAAGGAGTCGAGACCATCAGAATTAGACGGTTAGATCCTTGTGTTAGAGTGTCTTCTTATGTGCCAGGCATGGCTCCAAGCACAGAGATGGCCCTTAAGCGATAATGAATAACATGTGCCTTCAGTTCTGGGACTAGGTGTTCTGTGTGTCACTCACGGGGAAAGCAGTGCCCATAGGCCCTGACCCTTTCCCCTGGGTAGCCATTAAAGGATTATGCTGAAAAGAAATAAAATCTCCCCCTTAAGCAAACCCGTGGAAGGTTTATTAGCAGATTATACAATCACAAAAGCGTAGGACTGGAAGGGACCTCAGTAAATCATCTAGTCCAGTCCCCTGCACTCAGTGCAGGACTACAAAATAACTAGAGCTGTCAAAGGGAGTTCTGTAAAGGCACAAAGGAAACCCATGGCCTAAAGTTACTGGGTCAAGTCACACCTGCTTTTCATCAGTGTAGCATGTCCACATTACAGGTTTGCACTGGTGTAACATCATCGATGTAGTCAGACCAGTACATTCTTGAATGGAGACCAGGCCTAAGTGACTCAGGAAGGGCAACAAGCAAGGAAAACAAGCAATCGTACACAATTTTATACACATCTGCTGCTTTTTTTAAAATACTGTAAATAGATCAATCAAGAGTTGATCATGCCCAGCTGCCGTTCAACCTACCCATCAATAACTGGCTGACCTGGAACCATTCTGAAGGTTCGGTGCAGCAATTTGTAAAATGCTGATGGCTCCTATTACGTGACTACGCCAAACATGCAAATGACTCGGAGCCTGCATAATCAATGTGAGGTTTGGCATGGCACATCGCCGCCAGTCACAGAGGTTCCAATACAAGTCATAACTTTCTGACCATCACGGGTTCTACTAGCAAATAAACTGCAGCCTGATTTATACCCCCGACGCCCACCAGAAGCATAAGGCTGGGTACTGCAAGTACTAACAAGAGGCATACCGCAGCAATACTGGCCAATGGAAACCCGACAAAGTGGCTAGCATCCGATCACACGCTTTCGCTTATTAAAAGGAACCGGAATACTTTGTATTCCTTTCCGACAGTGTTCCCGCAACAAGAGAGGGCATGTCAGGGGCACAACGGGAAGCAAAGATTACTTTAAAAATAAGACACCCTTCTACATGCATAGTGCAATCCATCAAAGCAAGTGTGATTCAGTGTCTTAAACAACAACCATACAGCACTTACAATGAAACCTACTGGAGACTTCTAACAAGAATTTACTTTAGTGATCTGTCTGCCTAGTATTTAGGTCCCAGTTCTGTAAAGAGCTACACGTGTTTGACATTATGCATCTGAATAAAGTTAAGCACGTACATAGGTGTATTCAGGATCCTGGCTTTAGAGTACAAGGCCCCAGCTATTTCCCCCTGGCAACTTGTACAGTTGCAAACATTCTGTCAGCAATTACATCGCACACCTGTTTCTGAAGTGGCACCTCCATAGATCCACTGGGTGCAAGGAGCAGGGTATTTGGAAGGCATAAGGCTGCAATACATTTATTTGTCAGCAAGGTGAAGATGCAGAAGTTTGTCTCTTCTGCTTGGTAAAAAAAATCAGTTAAAATCAATCTTTATGATGCATGTTTGAAGGCATGCTCTAAATTAGGCAGGAAAATTGCTGCTGGACAGAAGAACTAGGTGAGGAAGAAAAAACAGGCTGGGGCAAGGAGACTGTGGGCTGCGGGTGGGGTTGGGCTTCCAATATGAAGATGGTTATTTCTGGTTCTCTTTACAAAATATATATTTTTAAAACACCCTCTTTTCATTGGAGTTTAACAATATACCCTCCCCCCCCCCCGACTGTTTTCACACCTCCCCTCTCCAAGCCCCCTGCCCGTCAGGGAAGGTCAGGCTCCCCGGTGCCAGCACCCCAAACAGTCACAAAAGCAATCCCCATGGGTGGTATTCAAGCTCCTGCCAGGTTTGGGCTTGGACTGCTTCAATCCCTGGGTGTAAGGAGCGAACAAACCGGGCAGCGAGGGACTCGCCTCCCAGCAGCAACAGCCCCATGACCCCGGCCACCCCATGGAACTTTTTTTTGCCAGGCGGGACCCCCGCCTACCCCGCACGGGGCTGGGGCGCAGGGAAGAGCAGTCGGCTCCTCGGGGGGCTGAGGAGAAGCAGGGATCCCCCGGCGGGTGCGGGAGAGCCGGGGAAGGGGAGCGGGTCACTTACCGGCGACGCTGGAGTGGAGGCGGGCGGCGGCTTGCAGCAGGCAGTAATAACGCTCCATTTCCACCTCGGAGATCCGGGTGCGCTCCGGCGCGGGGCGCGCCAGGGCCATGCCCGAGGCCGGGCGCTCCGGCGCGGGGTGCGCCAGGGCCAAGCTCTGCGGGGAGGGGAGGCAGGTGACCTGGTCCCCGCTGCCAGCCAGCCGGTCTCCCTGCTAGCGCCGGGCTGGGCTCCCCATGCTCCTCCCCAGCCGGGAGCCAGGAGAAAGCCGGGATCGCCCCTGAGAGTCGCTCCCCGGCTCAGCCTGGCCCCTCGCCTCCGCAGCGGGCAGCGCCAGCCCCGGGCCGAGCCGCTCCTCCTGCGCTCCGGGCAGCCTGGCCTGCACGCCCAGCACTGCGGAGCCGCCGGCTGCCCTGCTAGCCCGGCTGGGCCGCTCCCTCCAGCCCGAGCGCACGGGACCTTGGCTGGGGGCGGCTCGGGCACACCTCGCCCGGCTGCTCCAGCGGCTGGGGACGGGGCCGTTCCTCCTTCCCCGGCGCCTCCCGGAGGGGCAGGGGGCTAAGCCCGGACCCCAGCCCTGCTCTGGCGCTGCCTCCCTGGCTCGCTGCTGCGCTCAGGGCGCAGCGGGGCTCTGCGCGCACGGGGTGGCCGGGTGGGGAGCAGCCTTCCCCGTGTACCGCCCAGCGGGAAGGGGAGAGTCTGGTACGCGAGCCAAGCTGTGCCATCGCCAAGGATGGGGACCCCCCTCTCTCTCTGCAGAGGGTAGAAGGCAGCAGGGACATGCCCTCCACCCCAGCTATTCCTCGCCTGGCAGCGAGCACTGGCTTCCCAGCCAGCGGCTGGTTCTTGCCCCTGCTCTAAACTAGGCAAGTCCCCCCAAGGGTGAAATCAGGGGGAGTTTTGCTAGTGGCTTTAGAGGGGCCAGCAGTTCACCCCACGGCTTTATCAAAGCTATTGCCTGTGAGGGGACTCTGCTGTCCGGGTGGGCTAAGAATGTGCACCTCCGAGTGCTAATGTCCTGTGGAATTTCACAGCCTGCTGCTAGCCACCAGCCTTTAATACCAAGCCCCCTAGCTCGGTTATGAGCCTGGTTATTGGAAGAAGGGTGTGTGTGCGCTAAATGTCCAGTAAACTTAAGGCTCCTGGAAAGTAACACAACAGGATTTGGTTGATGGCCACAGCTGCCCTGACCTGCCTCAATGGGCCTCAGCCCTTCCTGGAGAGAGCCTTTGGGTCTGAGAAGGTAGTTGAGTCACCTCACCCTAACTCTTCCTTCTGGTTCTCAGCTGAGGCCGTCAGCCAGAAAGCCAGTTGCCACCTGGCCACCAGCATCAAAGCTACCTCATACCACCCACTGCATCTGAAAGCAAACCTTGCACTTCCCCCGACTGCTGCCTGGAACCCTGCACAGTCACTTGGTCAGTTCAGGCTTGAAGTACCTCTTCCCTGTTAAGGCCATTGGCCCAAGAATGATCTACTTGCCGCTGTGTGAAATCATCCACACCTGATGCCCCAAGTTGGGCCCTTTTAAGTTAAACGCTGCAGAAGTATCTCAGCTGCTGGAACGGTCAGGGTCAGTTCATGGACAATACAAATAATACTATTCCATCCCTTGCTGCTCCTTCCTATCTACATTTTCAAAGCACCATGTTAGATTTGAGCTAGAATTTTGTGCAGCTCTGGTTAAAACCAAAGTCTTTTCGTGTTTGCTAGCAGAGCTCCAGCAGTTTCCTGAAACAGAGCCGACGCAGAATTGTTTGGTCCCAGAAGCGTGTTAAACCAGGCTGGAGCGTGACTTGGGCTGGTGGAGCAGCTGCAGTGTGCTCTAGCCGTTAGGGCTGACCTCTGTCAGCCTCAGTTATCAGATGTCAATGGCAGCTCATGCAGATCAGAGGCTACTGTGAGGGGAAACTCAGCCGCAAAACAGCTGTTTTTAATTATGTTGCTTTCACATAAAACCAGCGGTAGCCTGGCCCTTTGCCTTCCAGCATTCAGGGCTAGTCATCATTTAGACAGGCTATTAGATTAGGGTGTGAACTCTGGCAAGAGTCGTATGTACAGTGCTTCCGGGGTTGCTTAACATTTGTCTAATTTTATAAGAAAAATTTCCCCACAAATGTCGTCGTATAGTTACCAGTTCAACCAATGCTTTCTCCTTGTTTCTAACACAGCAGCTGCCAGCCTGGCTGTCTCTTCTTTCTCTGTGTTTGGGTAAAGGTATCCTCACTGAGGTCAGGACTGTGCACAATTCTAGCAACAGTGCTGCCTGACAAGCAGAAAGAGTGCAATGCATGGGGTTTGTGTAGGACCTACCAAAATAGGTTTGTTATAAAAATTAACAGGGATTTGGTGGATCAGAAAACAATTAATGGGAGATTCATCCGTTGAAATCCTGCCTCGGTTGCTAGAGATATACAATCTTAGCAGCTACTGATTGGGGATGGGGTGGGGCTAAGAGTTGATGGTCTCAGTACAGTTCCAAAATTGACGCAATCACATACAAAACACTCCTATTTGACATCAATTTGCTCTTTAGTGGCAGGTCTCAGCAGAGAGGCCATAGATTAAATGAGCATGGAGAAGAATCCATGTTCCCTTCCTAGAGCAGTCCCTGTAGGTCTGCACCGAGCTGTAGCAGTAGGTCAGTCTGGTGCTGCTTGCACAGCCGCTGTATGCTATGCAAATAAAATGGGAATGTCAGGCTCCAGCAAGGGTTAAATTAATACCTTGGGTAAGGCCTTCAATTTCAAAGGGGCTTTTGGGTGAGTATGCGCAGTTGTTTGTGAACGAATAGTATCTAATTTAAAAGGAGAGAGATTTAGAATCCAAGAGCCTTCAGGTAATAGGATGTTTGCTCTAATCTTGGGCCTCCACGCTGGGTTTCCCACTTAAAAATATCTTTCCAACGTGCTAAGGCATTCCAAATGAAGGAACATTTCCCATGTGGGTTCAAAATGCAGATCTGACAGGCAATCTAGTCACTGAGTCAGATTCTCTCTCGTACAACAAGGTTATAAGACCACTGTCTTATTAAGGATGTTTTCAGTGATGCTTTAGTGTTTTCCCTGGGAAATTAACGGCTGAGCCATATTTCTGTTCTTTTTTTTTGCAGTGCAGAGGCTGATATTTCACAGTAAATCAGAAGCTGGGAAGCGCCCCTCTCCAGTTCAGTATATTGTGTAATTGTACTTAGTTTTTAACACTGATGCGACTGACAGCGGACGCCAACACAGTAGTTCGATGAATGGAGACTTCTGGCTGGCTGTGGAGTGCTGGATCTGTTTATGTTCTTCAGGACCTTCGAGGAGAGGATAAAGACGTCTGTTCACGTACACTCACCTCTACTCAAGCAACCCGAGCAAGTGCAGAGCGGAGAGAGATTAAAAATAGTCAACGGGTGCAAAGCCAGGGACTCAGGCATAGTACAGCGGTGGAATAGCCAAGGAGCTGTAGATCAGTAACTGATTGCCGTAAAGCCCTTTCCCCACTTCCACACCACCTCAGTTGATGCAGAGACTAGCAGCAGCCCCTGGCTGGGTGATGTTCCTTCTACTTCGCTACAGAAGGTGGCTCTCTGCCAAGTGGGAGCAACAGGACATGCCTTGACTGGCGCAGTAGCACCAAGGAGTTCTCCTGCACTGACATCCAGTATTTTGTGAGATGCTACAAATGTCTTGGTGTCTATGGCCAGCGTTTAGTTACACAGGCACATTGCGACTTTGTTATTGACAAGCTCTGCTGCCATCAAACTCAAATTAGAAAGCCCAATAATAGGAAGATCTTCCAAGCCTGAGCCCCCAGGCACGGCTCTTTTCTATTAGATACAGACCAAAAAAATAATCAGAACAAAGTTACCTTTGCACCACCCCAGAAGATGTCAGCAGCCAGATACAAATGACCGATGCAAAGCATGAAAGAAAACACTGGGCGTAACTTCCTTACAGTGTCCAGGGGGGTTTCCGGTGAAACAGAAGGCAAGGTTTGCCCATTAAGGATTTAGTGTTTAGGTGTCGCATAGGTAGCTACACCCCCACTGCAGCCATAGCAATATAGCCCTGTTCAGACACAATTGGCACAAAAAAACCATAAGCCAGTTTCCGACAGAGGGAAACCACTTATGCATAGGTCAAAGTACACCCAGGTACAGCGTTCCTCAACAATATTCCCTCAGATTGCTGCATTACAGTGAAACCTTCTCTTTTACGTAGTTATTTTTCAATCCCTCCACACACTTGCCATCTCTCCAGCGTGCTGCGGCAGTGATGGATTTCCAGAGGAGGCAAAGTCGGGGTTGATCCGATTTTGCACTGGCTGATGGATGGACACTTAAACAGAAGCTACCGGTCCTGTCCTGCTGGCTGAAGAGGCTCTCCATCCCAGGGCATGAGCCCACAACATGCTTAGCAAGATAGTGCTCGGCACCTTGCAAGATGGGACCCACTGGATGATGTTCTTCAACTGCCCTGGAAGGGAACAAGGCTCCACAGGGAGCAGGAGAGATCTCATTCCCTTGGAAAGGTTGTGTTAGAGTTTCCACCAGACCCCTCTATTTTCTGAGTTTTATTCCATGTAGGCTGACAGTTAGCAACAGGCCTTAGGGGCGGGGGGAGAATTTCCCAATTAATCTGATAATTTCAACTCATGTTCAGTAAAACCCTCAGTTCTGACAAAGGTCGACATGGCCTGTATGGGACCGTGCTATTTGGTGAAAAAACACAGCAGAAATCCCTGGTCAATCAAACAAGTCGCTCTTTTCAGGTTGCCTTTTAAACAAACCCAGACCTGTAACTCTCCGGCCCACCGTAAGCTCCTTCTGCGGCTGATCTGAAGAACCAGACACCGTTGCCCAGCATAGCTCCATTTTGGAGCAACAGCCATTCTCCCTCTTGGAAAGGCTTGAGTTTTTATTTCTCCCGCTTCTGACTGCTGCTCCTTTCAACTGTGTGGCCAGGCTGAAAAGCCAGGCAGTCAGAGGCGGCGTTTCCTTTCAACTGCCCCAGCCCTTCTGCTCTGTCAGAAGCTGCCCTGTTAGGCCCGGAGAAATGCCTGCACCTAAGGAAGAAATCAATTGGCTGAACTCTCAGCATTTCCCTCATCTGCAACTGGCAGCCTACAGCTTCGCCTGGCCCAGGGAATTTTGGCATGGTTATCACTGAGCGGATTCCCCTAGCATGCTGGTAACTCACCACTGCTTCTACACACAGCACTGGTCCCAGTACAGCACAGGTCATTGCACGGCTGTCATGCACCGGGCTGATCACCCGTTCAGTCTCCACTAGACCTGACTCTCTTTGTAAGGGATAGCGAAAGGCAACCTCTCACCCCCAAGTCCTCCGAGCATCCCCCGAGTGTGCTCAGGTCCCTGTCACCGAACTCTCAGATCTGCTATTCCCAGAGGTGCAGTCCACACCAGCTTGTAAGATTCAACTCAGGTTCACCAGGTCACTTAATGCATAGCACTTTATAGAGACAAGAAGAACAAGTTTATCATCAAAGAACAGAGATTCAAGTGAAAGAGAGAGAGAGAGAGAGAATCCTGGAACCAAGTGGTGATATATAAAACAAAATCGTAACACGCTTTCTAGAGCCTACACGTAAACAACAAGGCATTCCCCAATCTCCTACAAGGTAGCTTACCTCTG